CGGAGAATTGCTTTTCCATTTGCTGTGATTTGCTGGAAATTTTGAGAAATCTCAGAGTAAACCAAAACAGACCACATTTCTGACTCATTTTTGAGATTTTTCTCTCTCTCTGAGGCTTTTACTGATCTGGTTGAAATAATTCCCTTCCATTGCTAACAGGTTACACACAAACATGGTAAAGATATTGTCCAGGAGACAAGTTTGCAAACTGAGTCAGCCACTGCATTTTTCAGTGACTCAACCGATCCACCTCCAAGCCCTTTCGTTTCCTTGCGCCCTTCCCTCCTTCACACACAGGCAGGCCGTTAATATGTTTAACACGAGCTCTCACCCCACTACATCATCACTTCCTCCTACTTTGAAACGTCTTCCAATACACACAAGCAGAAAGTGAAGGTCTTCCAATTCAGTGAACAGGCTTTTTGGATTATTGCTGCTTTTTTCACTGCTCCCTCTTTTTTTTTTTTTTTTTGCCCACAGCAACATTTTTTGCCATTGATGAAAAAGGCTAATAACAGGTTGTGACGACTGAGGTGGTGATTTATCTGTGGAGCTGCTTATCCTATAATCTTCCAAACAGTTTGCTTCATGAAACAGTTGCCAGGAAGAGGCATCCCCCCCCTTCTGACCTGATTTTCCTTTCCTTCTGGCTGCTTCCAGGCAGAGATTTCCACTCGACGTCACAGTTCCTCTGTGTGAGAGAGGCTCCCGTGAACGAGGAAGTGGAATGGGAAAGAATAGAGGGGCGCAGTAAACTGTAAAACATGGAACAGTCTGGCTCCGGCTGTGACTCAACAGGAAGCGGCAGAGCTGGAGTAAGTGAGGTGAGAGACAGACAGAGGAGTAGGAGAAGAGTAAGAGTGGGAGTGGGAGTGGGAGAAGAAAGGAGAAGGGATTTGGAAGATTGTCTGTGTCATGCTTGAAGACTTTGGGTTATTGAGTGCTGACCAGTCTTTTTCTTGAGAAATCAGTGGGCTTTTACCACACCATGTACAAATCATGACACAGACACGCTGTAGAGAAACGTCAAACAAAGACATTGTCGTGCATGACTAGTTTCTGCTGTCCTGAAGTAGACTTTGCTTGTCTTGGTCTGATTCAACCAGACTTTGCTCTCAGGACACAATGTCAGAACTGCAAACGTTTCAAATATTGACTTTTGTCTCATTCCACGTACTCTGACAGGAACAAGTTCAAAACACAGCTGGATGAGCCTTGCTCCATCAAGGCCAAATAAACGACATCTTTCTTAGAAAAATAGATGAAAGACCAAGAAAATCCAAATTACATTCTAGGTTCATTTTATCTTATTTCCTGGGACTGTGGACAAGTTTTGTTAACCTGAATAAGAGTTCAGATGCCCTTTGGGACTCCTGGGCCTTTAGTTTTAAATTTCAGGACATGAGATGATCTTTTCGTGTACTCTGATGTTCATTTTATCTTCTGCGCATTGCAACAACAAAGTTCAATGTATTTTCATATGATTTAAAACATAATCAGTTTTTATTGAAGTTTCAGTTTGTGATATGTCTATGAGCTCAGAATACATATCCCTTATGACCAAAACCATCTTTAATTTTTATTTTTTTATTTTTTTTTATGTACACCCATTATGTAACAACGTGTGACAGAATGGACTTGTGTGAAAGCTGTGGTCAAGATATGACTAACTTATCCTTACAGCCCTGCAAAACCTGGTGAATTTCAACTTCAGGCAAAACAAAACAAGCAAGAAAAAGGTCTGCATTATTTCTGCCCCAGGAAAAGAAAATATCAAAATTAACAAACAAAAAAACATCACTTAATCTTATATTTAATTTGTGTTGAACAATGAGAGACATTTCATAAATCAGTAAATAGTTCTGGTGTGACCTGCGTAGGAGACCGTGTGGGTGGACTCGGTGCAACAGAGCGGTTTTACAGGACAAAAAAAAATTAATTAGTATTGTTGATGCTGGCTTGTTTCTGAAGCCTTGTTAATCTGGACCAAACAAAACTTAAGACTTTGAACCATCAGTATAAACAAATCCTAAGGGCAACAGACACTTCAAATATGGAGCTGGATCAAAGCACCCCTTAAAAATGTCGGAAAGGCATCAAATCAAACCCTACCATCATCCGTGCGCCATTGCAAAAGCATTCTAAGTATGCCCATATAAGGTCATATAATGACTGAGGATCTAAACCTGTATATGCAATGTAAATCATAAACCTACATAATGCATTTACCACATGCTGTTTGGAAATCTGGGTAGGCAATCGCCCACTGTCCCAGATGATGTGTTTGCTCAAAGGAAGACTCATCGTTTTTCTATAAATTTGACTGACTTCATGTTGAGCAATGAGATGCGTGGTTGGACCTGTGACCTCGGTGTGACATAGTGGTGAAACTGTTCCGGTTTTTCCCATTGGAGCGCCAAAGCTTCTCAAACACATTTTGTCACCTCAATGTGTTTGAGGTTTTCTGCTGGTTTCCACTGACTAGAGCACTTTCTTTCCCCTACATGACTTTGGAAAAAACTCCAAGGAGGAGTTCTGTGCAACCGTGGTTCTCTTCTGGCAAAGTACAACTCGAAAGCCCGAACTAGTAGCTGTCCTGTTCTGTTCTCACACCTGAGCTGTTGGCTTCAGCAGATCCTCCAGAGCAGTTTCTTGGTTGTTTCTCCAAGAGATGCCCTCTTCGTCCCGCCCGTCAGTTTAAGTAGACAGTCTCGTCTTGGTGAGTTTGAAACCTCCCAAACGTTCTCCCTGACCTGTTGGCTGTGTTCCTTTGTCGTTGTTGTTGCTGTTTCTTCACTGATGTTTTTTTTTTTTTTTTTTAACAAACCTTCACATCAAACCCCAATAAACTACTTTGAGGATTGTGGTTGTAGTGTGACCACAAAAAAAAACAAAAAAAAAGTCAAAGGAAATACTATTGCATTCCTCTGCACGTATTTGTCTTCTTAAATTAAAACTGTGCACGGTTATTTCTCAAATGTCATCATGTAATGACTTTGAGTGTTTTCCACTATGACCAGTGGCCTCTGTGTGCGCATGTGGTGACCCTGGATTCTCAAAGCTGTGGGAGTCGTTGTTGGGGCGAGCCAACCTCCCGGAGCAGAGGTCAAATCGTTTCCTGCTCTCACAGATCTCTGTCTCTCACAGCTGTCAGTGCTGTAAGAAGCCCACCTTCCACATCTGTAGCGCCTCCCACCTCCGCACTTATTATTATTATTATTAATTTTATTATTTTAAATTATTATTCCTCCCCCCTCTTTTAAGGACCAGTTTAACCGAAGATATCGAATAATACCAGAAATTATAAGATAGGATTTCACTGCAAGAAAGAGAGGATGAATGAAGCTTTACATCTGGTCAGAAAATAAACAATGTCTTGAGGTGGAACAGGAGATGAAGGAAGGAGGTGCTAACATGTGTTTTCTATGGTAAATATGTCTGTGTAGGAGGACCTGCCGACATGGTGACACAGGGAATTATCTCATGGAGGAACCAGCTGTGCATAAACATGTAATAGTAATTAGAAGCAGCACCACAGCCCGGAGGCAGACATGCCTGGTGCTGCTTTCAAAGTCACGGTCAACCTGTCCTCTGTCTGAGTCTCACATTCTTTTGAATCCCAGCCCCGATAAATCTGTTAGTGGTCACTGCAACTAAAGTGTGACACACGACAGCTTTGTTGACGTGACGCGCGCATTAGTAAAACCTGGAAAATGCTTCATTTACAACAGCTGCAGGTTTAAATAGTCAAAATTCCTATCCGTTGAGTTGACGTTCACAGCACTTACGCACACATAGCTGTCAAATTCTGATGGATGCAACATTTACAAGGAGAAATGCTTATGAAACTCTCGACTCTAATAGGCTGCAGCTCTTTGTTGCAACCCACCGCTTCCTGCAGCACGACACGCTCCAGTTCCCATTTCTCTCTCATTTTTTTTTTCCAGCGAAACGCCAAGGATTTTATGATATTATGAGTGATTTGAAACACACTCCCTCTCTTTGCCTGTTCTCTGCGGTCTAATCGTTATATGGTTGGAGTTTGACATGCTGGAGGGGGTGGGCAGGAAGAAAATCAGGCTCCTCAGATGTCTGAGTGGGTTTCAGAACACAACCTTTGACCTTCCTCTGTGAGTAGACAGCTCAGTTGACGGCTGTCGGGAGGAAGAGAGGGGAATGAGCTGACGAACGATGCTGGGGTTCTGTTTACCAAAGGCAAGAATCGACAAGAAACTCGAACTGTGTTAAAGAAAAAAAAGGTAAAATTGCAATTCTGGTTACAGTTGATGGGAGAGTGGATGCAGCTACAAACGGGCCAGGAGGAAACTTGACTTGAGGCTGAAAATGTACTCAAACAGCCACAGCTATAATGTCAGATTGGTTCAAAGCATGTTCTGGTGTTCGAATGGCCTAGTCAAAGTCTACCCCAAATTCGGTCGACAACCTGTTGCAAGAATTAAAAATGAATGTTCACAGACACCCTGAAAACAATCTGACACAGATTGAGTCACTTTACAAATTAGATTGGGAATAAATGTGGTTCTCCAGATGTGCACAGTTGTGTAAGCCTTTCCCCCAGAAGACCTACACCTGTCGTTATGAACCGTCTTACAAAATAGTTTATACTGTTCAAAAAGCGTATATAAAAAACCTTTTTTTTTGTGTGTGTATTAACTCTTATTTGTAAATAAATATACAAATAATAAAGCTTCTCTGTCTGCTTCACAATTATGTGCTGCTCTGTCCCATTAATTAAACACACAGATATAAAACGCTTCTTTGAATACGTACAAATGAAAGCCCATTAAAAACGAGGCATTTTCAAGAATCCCACCGAGCAAATGTTTTTCATTTTGAGCTGTATTTGATGTGTTCTGGGTTTTTTTTATGAATGGTGGAATGTTTCATGTTCAGGGAGATTTGTTCCCCTTTAAGGCAGCAGTGGGTGGAGCCACACTCAGGCTCGCGGGGAGTTGGATCCATTTATAAGGAGTTATGGAAAACTGCGTCACTCTGACCAAATCGGTTTCACCTCCCTGCCTTGTTGACAGAGGAAGGATGTTGCACATGGCTCGGTTCTGGTGGGACTCCGGCTCGCGACAGCTACACTTTTGATTCTGAACGCGCTGGAGAAGCAAGGACCGATCGATACGCGTTGACGTCATGGAGACGTAGTCGGGGTTTTATTTCTGGTAAGTTTTCAGGGTTTTTCGCCGAGTGTTTGGCCGCTGATAGACTGGGACTTAATGGTTGAATAAAAGGGTCACTGGAAATTACACAGGACTGTGATTATATAAAAGAACACGCTGTCTACTTGAACTAGTTCGCGCTGTGAATTTAAGCAGCCCCTCTGCTCACGGGAATTAAATTTAGAAAACATCTTCTGTTAAAAAAAAACAACTTTTAGCGGATTTAGAGCCTTTATATAAAGCTGCAGTTCAGATTATGCTCTTTTTAATGGGTCGGAAACGCTAATAAACCACATAGATTAGGTTACTTGTCCAGAGGGACTCTCAGCTGTCCTGCTGTCCCGCTACTGGATTACTGACAGATTTGAAAGGCAACCAATTCCCTTTGGGGCCGACAGAGGGCGCTGAAGAGATCCGACAGGCCTTGCAGAACCATAATGATAGATTTACTGATATAATGTGGCAGTTCAGATAAACTGTTCAGATACAGTTTAAAAATTTGTCACGTTACGACCACAAACTCTATGTCATTGATAGGCCAATACATTAAGTTTTTCAAAAATGTTTTTAAGTTTCCCAGAAAAAACCCTATATATATATAGATATATATCTATATATCTATATGTATGTATGTATGTATGTATGTATGGCTGGCTGGATGCAGTAAGCAGTTCTTCTGCACTTCTTGCAATTTTTATTTTACTGATCATTGAACTTTCTTCAGCGAACATTATGCCAAAGTGTCACAGTACGATTTGCTGAAAAATACATTGAAATTAGCCTGGATTGCTAATACCAGCTTGGTTAATGAACAAACTGTATAAATAAAACAGAGCACAGATGGCAACCAGCATAAGTTCATTTCATCCAGTTTACTTCAGAAATAATTAATGCTGTATTACCTATACTGACTGGTATGATACCATAATTTAATAACAATAATTATACAACTATAGTATATTTGAAAGCTCATGAATGAGCTTTCAAATATATGTTTAATACACATCTTCATGAAATCTTTTTAAAAAGGAAAACAGGGCAGCTCAATTTATGACCGATATGGCGTACATGACTTTATGAACGGCACCATAGGCGTGTCCACACTTTTTATGGTTTACGATGAGTAATCAGGTTCCAAAATTCATTCATGAGCTTTCAAACTCCATGACACACTTGGGCTGAGCCTTCTACATTTTTTGTGTGTGTAAACTGAAAGTAAAGTTGTGTAATAGGTGAATCCGAATATTAGGATTATTTAGAGGTCTGTGTGTGGTGAGAGTAATATTAATCCTCTGCTACACACAGTACCAACTATTACCTAAACTTATGTGTTATTAAAAACACTTGATGTTGAGAGTCTTCTACATTTATTTATTGTATTTTTAATAAAACTAACTCTAGGTTTTAATTTGGATTAAAGTATTTTCATGGTGGATTTTAAATCTGATTTCCTTGGTTAAAAAAACAATAAAACATTTTATTTTTCTTAAATCTTTGTCAATCATGTGATTGAAGGTGCTCTGGTCAGGTAAAAAAATAATTTAAGTTAACACAGGCAAAATCACTGTGCATAAAATAAAAATCTAAACAATCTAAACAATAAAAATGTCTCTGAAATACCGGCGGCTGTTGTTGCCAGAATTTCACCATATAAATATGGCAAAATTATGAATCTTACCATATAATCACAGTTAAATTCTAAGGTAGTTTACTGTAAATTAGAGACACTTATTTTTTTTTAACAGTGTTGTGACACACCATCCCCATGGTGAAACATGGCGGTGGCAGCGTCATACTGTGGGTGAGGCTGCAAAGGACACTTTTGTTTTTTGTTATTGCTGTTGTGGCTATAAAAACTTCATGCTAGTTAGCTCTCATTGCACACTGATGAATTTGTGGATTTAAAGCACATCATTTGTGCAAACACACTGCAATGCAACAGTCGGCTCATCCATACCCGTCCGACCGGTGAATAGCCTGACAAAAGTGAGGTTGGTTCCCGCCAAGGACAGCACATCAAGCCCCTGCACGACCTAAAACAAACGGCTTCCTCCAACTTGCGTCTCGTCCTTCGCCGTGTGCCAACACGCACATTCACCATGCGCGGCGCAGGCTCATGCTTCGGCCACGCCGGCCCGTCTCCATGGCGTATCTCTCGTCCTAACCTCATGGGAGAGTTCACTTGTATTTTCAGGCCTGGCCGACTCTCCACCGGGGTTGCACAAAGGCCCATTCACGGCTGAGAGTGCTTCCATTCATGGATGCTGAGTAATTGCCCACAGAATTCCTAATTGTTCAGCGTCTTCCATCGCCGAGGCTCTCGGGTGGAAATGACGCCACAGACGGGTTGGTTTAAGAATGATATTGATATTCAAACACACAGATGAGCCAATGTTTTGTTTGGCCTGTGTGGGGTTAACTTTGCGTGCTTCGAATGGTTTGCTTCCCACTTCAGCTCTCCGACGTCTGATGCAGGCCATGAAACAAAGCAGGACTGTGAGACTTGAAGGACAATGCAATGGTTCAGGTGTTGACCTTCGTTCAGGTGGAATTAATTAATGGCTTCATTTACATGTAAAATGCTCCTTTAACTGCAGCTGATGGTGCATTAAGTGTAAATTGTCAATGCTGTGACATCAAGATGGATCAGATTAATATGACAATAACTCCTGTTGGGATAGAAAACTTTTAAAAGGACTTTGACTTGGATGCTTTTTCCTGGACTGATTTTATAAACAACCAAACAAGACCCATTGTCTTCCTGGGATCAAACCAAATTTTCTGTTTTATCACTGTACTTTGCTTGTGTTTGTGATTCCGGATCAGAGGAACGCTGTACAATCAGCCCCTGTTGAGCGGGCGGATACTGCCGTGTTTCATGGTCCAAAAGAGGGAGAGGGAGAGAGGAAGGACAGTGAGGAGAGCCGCCTCCCCCCCCTCACACACATCTGACCCGAGGTTGCGCAACAGCCTGAAAGTACAAAGCGAAACATACTGTTCAGCAGCTGCTACAGCAGACTGAAGTCATTTACTAGGCTGTTGTCAGTTTTTCTTTTTTTTTCTTGGACGTTTACATAAAATTGGTCGCGAGTACAGTATGTTTTACCATAAGAAAAAGAGAAATTATATTTGTGTGAACAGATCTACACTACTGCAAAAAGAGCCAGACTTTCCTATTATGTTTTAAATATGATGTGATGAATAGTTCACTATTATTTCTGCAAAGCTTTCAAAGTTTAAAAAAAAAATGTTTTCATTCTCTGAGTTTTTTTAGTGTGTGTGTGTGGGTGTGTGTGTGTGGGTGTGTGTGTGTGTGCCTCTGACGTAAGATGTACCGAGTGTGGAGTCGACACAAAACAAACAGCTTGCTCTTCTTTTTCCTGCGCTTGTCTGCTTTTCAAAATTTTCAAGCACATTCAGTGCAGTACTGAAAATAAACACAATTTACTCGCGTTTGATGGCCGTTCAAGTTGCAACAAATTGTTCTTTTGCCGTGTCTTTCCCATACATTGAGGGAGTTTTTAATTTTGTCTTTTTGTAATTTTGTCTTCACATCCCCAAACTTTCCATGTACTTTTCTGGTATAGTACGGTACATGGAAAGCGGATGGAAAAGGCTGTCATCTTTTTTTTTTTTTCTTTTCAAATAAAAGCCAGCTTTGCACATCTACACACTAAAAATAAACCTAAACTGTGGCAATCTACAAATTCAACAATTTTTTTTTTAGCCTTCATTCACTACTGACGCTCTCCTTGCGACAATAACAGATTTGTGGCAAGCAGAATGAATATTTGTCCTATCAACAGATTCTACCAGCTGAGCGGTGTATCTCTGCAGCTCCTCCAGAGATTTAGCATATGTTTCTTGACATTCCAGCCCAGCTGGCCATGTGGCAGTCGTGCCGTAATTGTTCTATTCTGAAATGATGGATTGATCAGGTAGTTGTAAAGTGTAGGAGATTGTTTTGTGACACAGCGCTGCTTCAAACTCTTTATCTTCGACCTGCCTGGGGTGTTGATCACACAAAATCAATCAACACCATTAATTTCATGTTTCTGGCTGTAATGTGATGAAACTTAAATAGAACTCCGGGTTAAATGTAATTAAGCTTTTTTTTTTTTTTTTTTTTTACATTACATTTAACTGTATTACTGTCACATAAACTGACTGGAATAAGATATTAATATAATTGTTGTTGTATTGAAGCAACCAAAACAAACTATTAAAGTTGTTAACGCACTGTTTTTCAGTTGAACCTGTGTAATATCGATCAGAAATATGTACTGTTAAGATTAGGACTCAACAGAAATGTAGAAAATAAACAAAATGGCAGAAAAAAATATACTACATTGATGAAAACCGTGAAGATATTAAAGTATGAAAGTAAATTTCAAAGAAAACCTGTGGTTTAAAACTCTTTCTCAGCTTCCTGCAGAGCCGCCATCGAGTCATTACTTATTTACTGCTAAAGGCTTTAATGATTGTAGTCTTATGTTCCCACTTCTCTTAAAGTATTTAATCAGATAAGATGATGACTCTTTCAACTGCCGGGCGTGTTGCTCGGGGTGGAAGACCGTACGTGTGTTGTCATTGTTTTTATTTTTATTTTTACCAGAGCTTCTCTTAACAAGTGTGTCTGTGTGTGTTCCCACCAGCGTGTTGCTGCGGCTGCTGCCTAAAATGAACCTGCGATGGGTTTGACGGAGCGAACTGGCGCCGGAGCTTCGCATCAATGCCTTTCAGACCTTTTTGAATATTAGGGACACCCTTTCTGTCGCGTCATGGATGGAAATCAAAGCAACTACTGGGGCCACCAAGAACTGCACAGGTAAACAAATGTTGATTAAATCTGACAGAAAAATGTAAAAAAAAACAAAACAACAACAACAAAAAAATACCTGGTATATTTATATGCTCTGTTTGGAAAGACCCCCAAAAACCAAAAGCAGGTTCCTCTCTAAGTGTCGTACAGAGAAAATAAACAATATGGCTGAAAGCAATGTAACACAGTAACATAAAACATGTTTAAAGGATTCACTTAACCTGTAGTGTTAACAATTATGCGGAACATGTTTTCTGTCACATGCATATTTATGGTCGTTTAGCACGTAACAGCTGATTGACAGCGGGTTGCATGCAGGAATCATTCACACATGAATCTGCTTGGGTTGCTCAGGCTGTGTTTCTCTGCAGAGTGCGCTTCGGCCTGAGCGCTGACATGGACCACAACCTGACGGAGCTCCAGCAGCAACAAACGGCCAGGGAGTTTAACCGTGAGTCAGATATTACTGTTATTTTTAACTTGTTGAACAGTAACTGAGGAAGGTGCAACTAATTTGCAGTGCCCTCCACTTTTATTGGAACAACCGGTGTGAAAAGCTTCAACGAGAGCCAATCTTTTCTTACAGTAGCATCACCTCACACTGGAAATCTTCAATTTCAACCTTTGATTCTAGGAATATGTAATTATTAATCCGTAATTCCCAAAGGGATGTACAAAGTGCGAATTGAGGGCATTTTGTGGCCCTTGGAATAATTTAGCTTGTGCCCTCCAGCAAGCGAGGTTCATGCAGATCGAAACATTTTGTAATTTGTAATGAAGCATTTTTAGTTCATTTGCCATGTTTTTAAGTAGAGCTACTAACATCTGGATTCAAACATGTAAAGATCTTAACTTTTTTTTTTTTTTTTACTCAAAAACAAAGTTAAGTTAGACTGAAAGCAGCAAAGCTCTTTGAAGAAAGTTCACATTTTTGTTGCTGGTAATAAATTGAATACATTTTCCGGGGCCACAAAATAGAAAACCTTCAGTCCAAAAAGTCAAGAAATGGTATACATTATTATTATAAATAATAATAATGTCTGAGACCCTTTTCTGAACCGACAATAGTGAATTTTTCCCTGCTTTGTTTTATTAAAGTATTTCATGTTAAAAATTATTTCACTTTATTTTTATGGATAAAAATGTTTATTTGCCCCAAGTTAACATTTAACTTGTCAATTTTATCCCACAGTGCAAATGTTTGGACATCACTGTCCAACACACTCTGAATATCACCCACATGTATTTACACCTTTTGTTTGGGAAACCAATAAACGTAGCAAAGGGAATATTTGTTGAAAGCAACTATTACTTTATGTAGGATTTATTTTTTCGTACTCATTAAACACAATCAAATTAAAAGTTTAATTTCTCTAAATCTTAACGTTATTGTGTTGTATTCATTGTGAGACTTTTTTAACACTCAACCACATCAGTCAACAAGTGTATATTATTTTTTTGCATAGATTATTGTAACTTAGATCCTTTGCAGCTGTTACTTCGCAATAAATATGTGCAGTTGAAATATAACAGTTTAATATTAAACACGTGTATTATTTTCTTTTATTAGCATCAGAGATTATGTTATTTGTCCCGCAAAACGTCTCAGAAGGAGAAGGAGTGGCGCATCACGGAGCTGAGTTTCATGTCAGAGTAGGGACAGGAGGTGACGATATCGCTCCTGGTCACCAGCTGTTCCGGCAGTCTGGGACACGCTGGATGTTTCCACAAAGAAGGTTATGGGAAGCTTGGTTAAGATTGTGGCCCGTTTTGCAGATAATGACAGTTCCTGTGTTAATCAGGGTGTTGTGGCTGATGTTTGACGAAGAAGGCGATAGGTTAGGCGGGTGTTTTCACAATTGCTTCCTGTCCACTATCTGTTTCCACCGTGGGTTGTTTTTCCATGTTTCTTCCTCTGAGATGTTTTTTTTTTCTTTCTTCTCTGCAGGAAGAAACAGTGATAACAGACACTTTCCATCAACTAGACAAGTTCTTAGTTAAAGGGCAGTTTAATTTGGTTTAATGCTTTGTGTCTCTTTTCTTTCCACAGCCACCCAGTTTCCTGCTTTCTACTCCGATGCTTACCGGTTAACGTCGGGTAACGTTCCGCATCCCTGCGAGGGAGACCAGGTGGTCCCTTCGTCCCAGAGAAGAGGCTGCCAGAAAGAGGCCAAACCCCTCCCTCCTTTGCCTGACCCTGAGGACTTTATGTCAGATGAAGCTGCAGACAGTGAGGTCGAATTCTTTACCAGCGACCGCCAGCGCCTCCTGCCCAAAAGCTGCTCAAAGGCGATAACCAGAAGCAGGAACAAAAACTGTGGTCAGGTAAATTTTGCCTACCAGGGGGGCTCACTGGAAATCAGACCTGCTGGATCCGACTCCATCGCTTTCTCCTGGCCAAGCAGAGAGGACAGACCACTGGGCGGACGAAGCAGAATTGTAGCAAACTTTGATCAATTTGCTCACGAGAAAAGAGATCACCAGCATGAGGTGTCTTCTATTGGAGGCAAACTGTCAGACCAAGCCCAGCCATCCTCCAGAAACCGATTTTCCTGTTCAGGTCTTCCTTCTGACGCCCATGTGAGTTATCCGCTCTCCCTCCCTGAAAAACCCCGGATCCCTCCTCGCATTCCCATCCCGCCTAAACCCTCAGCTTCCTCAAAGCCAGTGAGTGACAACGACGAGGAAAAGCCTCCCAAGGTCCCCCCACGCATCCCACTGGTCCCGCCCTGCCCGCCGCGCACCCCGAGCCCCAAAAGTCTCCCGATATACATCAACGGCGTGATGCCCGTCACGCAGAGTTTCGCTGCTAATCCAAATTATGTGAGCAAGGCCGTACAGAGGCAGCAGAGTGAAAGGGCCCCGCCGGCGACACAGTTTTCTCCCTGCATCGTTCCCATTTTGAAGGACGGCAAACAGGCCAGCGCCACGCACTACATCCTGCTGCCACCGGGGCGGCACACCCACGCCGAGAGGCGGGGGAGGCTCCTGAGCGAGCCCAGCAGAACGGGATGTGTGTGGCAGAAATGACACCTTCCAATGAGAAATGCAAAGAAAGAGACTTCTATTAGGCATGGGCCAGTAAAACTGTCTTATGGAATAATTTTTAGTTAAAAAAAAAAAAAAAACAGCGTCATGGTATTTATAAAACAAAAAGGTACAGATTTGGTTGCCTTTAAGAGTCTCTTATGGAAAGCATTTTACCTTTTTGCCATTCTTTACAGAGTAACACTTGGAGTCTGTTAAACGGATTGTGTGCTGCGAACAAATGTCAAAAATACTGATTTGCAAAAGGTTTCCACGTCACATCAAGGTGGGACGTGGAAAATATCAGCAAAGAATAGCAGTTAGGTGCAGCTCAATGTAAAACCACCTAATTCAGAAAGCAGCTTTAGAATTGAAGATGAGGAAAAAAAACAAAGTAGCCTTCGTCCAACCGACTGGTCGTGCACATCGACAACTAGGAGAACACGACCCGTCCAGTTTTTCTCTTCATTCTCATGAAAATGACTTCATGCCAGAGGGGCGACGTGACAGAAACTTCTAGCATCAACGGTTTTAAATCGAGCTGTACCTTGATGCCAGCACTGACCCATGCCTAACTCACATTTTTATTGTGTACACGATACACTGCTGTAGTCATGTTATCATCTGTCACTCATTTATTTTATTTTGGTTTCACTGTGATTTGTTTTTGACTGAATATCCTACCGGTCAGTATTCGTAAGAGACACTTTTACTGTTCAACCCTACAACAATAAAGTACGGCGCTCAGTATTTCTCTAGTAGTGGAGGAAACGCACTTACCTCATTTAACGTTTTTCACTGAGATGTATTTCTCAATTCATTACAAAGTCATCCCCTTTTGTATTTTTTTTTTGTTTTTTGTTTAAATAAACAAAACTTGTAGTTATTACCCACCGATTGATATATTTCATGTGTTTGTTTCTATTGTTGATTCGAGGTTTTAATTAACTAAGCTAGAATGATCAAAATAAAAAAAAAACATTTCAAATATATCACTATGTGTAATGACAGTTAGTTTACCTTTCTTGAACTGATATTCTACTTTATTGATATATTTGTCCTGCAGTTTTTGGGTTTTTTTTAATGTGCAATTAGTGAATCGTGCTTATTGCAAACTTGTTCTAATGTCACTAAAACCAGCCTGAACCAATACGGTTTTCTTTAAAAGAGAGCACATAATTAAAGGTGCAAGCCGGGCTTGTGCCTATGTTATGATTGCACAAGTTCTTGTTCTTTCTTTTTTTCCTAATAATTCTACTTAAGGCCTCTAATATATTCACGAATGTAATATTTTCAGACCATTTTAAACATTCGGACCGATGTTTGAAGCGTTTGTTTGGTGAACACACTTTATCATCCGAAGAGATCTTAAAGTGTTTTCTGTCATGATTTTCAGGTTTTGATTTGATCAATTTGCCGATGACTTTTTAAGTTTTGCTGCACACATTCCAACTAGAACGCATTAAATTATAAGATGCAATTAGACATCTCAGTACAAAAACCCTCACCTAAAGTTCAAATGAAATGTGATTGAAAAAAAAAATCGCTTGACTTAGTTTTTTTTTTTGTTTTTTTTAAAGTTGCTTTTTTCTACTTACCATCCTAATTCCCTTTAGGTCTTCTCCCTATTATTTGATTTTTCCAGACAAAGGAGGCCTACTTAGTTCAAATCAAATTTCATCTTTATGATAATCATTTTTTCCCGTGTGTAAATTTTTTGTGAGCATTGGTTTGGTTGATATGGTAACTGCCCGTGTTGGACTCATTTCTACAGAGATTTGTGGATGAAATCCAGTTACGTTTACACTGCTGAAGTTCAGACTCATGTTTACAACCTTTGTTACGCCGAAGTTCTTATAAACATGGATTCAGGCCCTTGAAAGGCTGCAGATTGTAATATTGTTTTATGGTCTATTTAATGAAATAAATAACTTATTCATTGTGTAAATTATTTCTTGATCCTTTCGACCAGATGGCAATAAAATAGGAGCTCTGAATGTTTTTTGGAGTTGGGTAAGTGTGAGCAAAAACATGAAGTCCTGCCTACCGACAGATCTGCTTAATGTCCACTGGTAAAGTGTCTCGAGTTGAACGCTTCAACAATCTTTAGGGCAGCAGCTTGGAAGGCTTTGGAAAGAAAGGAAAACATTCAGACGGGAGTTCTCAGAAGGATTTTAATGGATCAAAACTGGGAAAATGAAGTCTACTGTTTGACATTTTCCTCTAATTTTATAACAGCGCCGTCTGTTAGAAATCTCAATGAGTGGCCGCAGATCATCTTGTCCTAGCTTGGTCTTGCCTCAGAGTTCAGCTGCTTTCCTATCAAACCAAAACTACAGGATGGCAATTTAGCAGATTGAAACCATTTGGGCTCGCAAACAGTTTTCTTGCATTTCTGCTCTGACTTCCAAATTTACTATAACTTTCCATTAGGACTGCTGAAGTACACACCGCATGTGAAGTTGTTATAGAATAAACTATATTTAAGCACCTAACTTTGACAAACATAATTTGATAAACCCAACTCTGTGAAATTTATTTGTAATTAGTAATGTGTTCAACATTTAACTAAAGTGATATGAGGAGGAACAAAACAGTTTTACTGTGGATTCATTTCTTCTTTTTGCAAAATAAGTTAAAAAAAACAAAACATAAAACACATAAAACCCTTTTCTACCCCTTTGTTTCAGCCCCCCCTCCCCTCCCCACTGTCTCCTGCAGTTCCTTAAGGGCCTTATTGAACTTTGGCCTGTGTGTTTCCCTACAGGCACGGCCTCAGCCGTCTCGTCTCGTCGGAGTGAGGTCCTTCGCGCAGCTGCGGGGCTCTCTGGTGCAGGACTCGATGAGATGGCTTTATCGCCAGGCCCGGTTCAGCAGTTTGACTTCGGCCAGGCGTTTGCTGATCATGGTGGCAAAGAAAAGAGCAAAGAGGACGCTGCTGATGAGCATGTAGTCGTAGTCGTCTTTTAGGACGTCAAATTGCTTGGAGGGATACACGCGGGTCTGGTAGATGTCGAGACCGTACGCCACCACCTGCGAAGAAAAAAATGTGTAAAAGAAAAAAATATTCAGTGATTCATGGTATTATTTTTATTGTAAAAAAAAAGAAAAATGAATGATTCAAAACTAAAAAAAAACAACACCCCTACAACGACGAATTAAGAGAAACATTTTTTAAATTATTGGAGGGAAAGATGAGAAAACAAATTCAGTCAGGAATAGCTATGGTAGGATCAGCTTTGGCTTGATGTTTATGCTAGAGTCCAACAGCTCCCTTTGTGGCAAAGAAAATGGACGCCATCCCAGTATGTTGACCAGGCTGGTGACCAGTATGTAGGAGTTTCTGTCGTACACAGTTTTATCTCCCTCTCACAACTGAAAGGACTTGAAAAAAGTTGAGTCTTTTTTTTTGCCCCCAGACTTTGGTCACCTCGTCCAGTTAGTGCCACCAAATAAGAGTCAATAGCAGAACAATCTGTTTGGCTGCAATATGCAGGATTTAGAAACATTTTCTAAGGAAAAATCCACTCAATTTGCAGCTCAACTCAAAAAAAGAAACAAAAACATAATTATTTCCTTACAAATGTGGCACCAGTTCAAGTGAAATAAACATGCTTTAAAAAAATGTATCAAATGTGTTGCTAGAAACCATCATTACCACACAGAAAGAATTACCCAAACTTGTGCAGCATTATGACACAGCCTTGCCTAAAGGCAGTCAGCCGCCAAAACTTCCAAACACATCATTAAAATCTCTTTAGTTATGGTTTATTCTGGCTGTTTTACAAACCTACAAAATATACTACAGACATTTGTTTTTTCCTAAAAAGCCTCATGTTGCATTCCGTAGAAGGCTGGTGTTACATAAATACATTCTTTTAAATAAAACACACAGGGAATTAGAAGATATTGCAAACTGTTTGGCAACTTAAAGTTCAGAGAAGGTTTTTTTTTATTTTTTATTTTGCTTAAACACAGCCTTTGTCATTTTTATTTCACGTTTTGTAATGTAATGTTGGACTCACCAAGCAGGTTGACTCCAGGCCCGATGGGGCAGTGTGAATTCCTCGCACTCTTCCCACAGTCTGATTGTAGTTGATGAACCACTCGGTGCGGATGATCAGCTCCGGTGCGTACGGTATCAGGTTTTCCTCCCTGGAAACCGAGTCGGAATTAGGTTAATGTACGGGAACAGTCCGTGCCTCAGGAAACCCACTGAACTGCAACGCTCATGTGTTAGACCAACACAAAGTTGTGAATGATTGTAAATTGGGAGGAAAACCGTGATTGTATTCAGCCTCCGCCGCAGATTCTCATTCAAAGACGTTTTGAGAATGTGTGTTTAGTTTCTTTTCCTCATCATGACTACGCTCTACTTTGTGTATGTCACATTAAATATATTGAACACAATGTGACAAAATGTAAAGAAAATAAAAGAGGGATTGACCACTTTCGCAAAGCAGTGTAAATCAACTCATTGTTAAACCACGTCTGTCTAGACTTACCGACTCTGCTCAGATATTATTTCAGGCCTGCGTGGGTCGAGGAACATCTTTGGTAATGACAGAATCCCCCCAGATGGCAGACCAACTGTGACAAACAGGGAAAAAAATATTTTGTGTTTCAGAAGTGTTAAATATTGTGGTTTTACTCACCACAACTAAATTGGAGAGGATGGAAAAGAATCATTTGTGAAACCTACTGAGCAGATGGCGGCTGGTGATGCCTTTCTCAGTCAGGGTGGCCTCCATGGTGGAGATAGAAGACGGGAAAATGTAAGACTGCTGGAGCACCTGGGGGGCGTGAGGCCGATCCAGCGAGCTGAAGACGGTGCTGTTGTAAAGCTCCATTCCTTCGTAAAGCTCAATGACGGAGAACTCGTTCCTGCGAGACTTCGTGCTCCAGTATTCGTACTGTTGCGCGTGACAGACAAGGGAAAACATGAATGACATTACATTAACTATGCAACGGACCAAAAATGTTGCATGATTTTGGTCTGCAAAACGAAGGATGAGTCTTTCCATTTGGGAATTTGGAAATCCATCCTAGCTTACCACAACCCAGTTTTCAGAGTGGACAATGTGAACGGGTCCTCTGGCTTTCCTCTGAACAGCTTCGTGGATGATGCGACCGGTCACACCGTCGATGAGCAGGATCCCGATGAAGCTGCGCTCCTGATGCACGTCTGTGCTCTCCGTCACCACGGCCAGCAGATTTGGGTTCAGGTACTATTAACAGAAAGTAAAAAATGAAAACTTTGAACTGCAAAAAGGAGAACAACTAAACTATTACTTAGATGATAATGTATGTAGAAATAAGACATAAATTTACATTAGTTGACCTCACGATCCAAGACATGAATCTTCCCAAACCTTTTCATATAAAAATGGAATATTTTCCCCATACTGTTATTTCCAGATGTCTCTGCTAATGTTTTAAATTATAAACTAAGCAATTTCCAGTGTAAATTTGAGTTTTTACATAGCTATCCAGAGTTGGAAGATAATTAAATCAAATTCTATACTAGGTAGGATGTGCACAGATGTTAAGATGCAGAACTTTCCTAAATCTTTGATGAGGCCCATTGTGTTTGTGTAACCATCTTGATTAATACTGAGTGCGAACTGAGATTTTTACTCTGTTACAAGATGTTACAACAGTCGTTTTTATTCACACTGGTAAATAGAAATGCGATTTTAGAAGTCGTTCAAATTGCAATTAAATCATGTAGAAAATGCTGTTGTACCTTATAGAGCACACTGCGGTCTCCCATCACCCTGCCTTGTGAGTGCACATGCTCATTAGGCCTTTTCCCCTTAACAGAGACAATCTTCTGTACTTCTGTTGGAATGACAACCTCCCAGACCTGCTCAGTTGACAAGTCCTGTAAGCAAAAAATAACCACGGTGAGCTTTCACTGATTACAGAGGCATTGTCATTATCAGAATGCAACACAAAGTGAAAAGAAGAACTTGCCGTTCTCAGTCTGTAACCAGAGAGTGTTCCCTGACTGGAGTCGACAAGGAAGAAGAAGATGGATGAAGCCGTCTCCTGGAGCTGCTGCAGGACGTTCTTGGTTGAAGGAAAGGCAGAAACCTGGAGTGGAAACAATAGACAATAAACAATAGATGGAAAATCAAAACGTTGCAATTCTAAACTGAAGATACAGTGACTGTAATCTTGTGCGTCAGGTGTGGAGGACAATTTGAGGTGTTGATCTGACCTTGTACTGGTCATCGACGAGAAGCAGGACCTTGGCATAATCCTGGTCCATAAGTGGGAGAAGAAGTGACTGAAGTATTGGCTGAGGTAGGACAGGTGGTGTGACCTGACTTTTCCTTCCAAAGATGGGATTGAACACATGAAGTGTGGCCAGACCCGTGTCCTGTGACCCAAAAAAGCCCCGACAAAACAAAAATGTGTGAAACAGACGAGAAATCACTCGTCGTGCCAGACATTTGTAACTTAAAGAGACTTTGAACAAGAAAAGAGAAGATACTGACACTGACCATTGAACTTTTTCAACAGACGTGCCAATGTTTCATTAGATACCTTGTCTTTGATGAGCAGTGTGCACTGTGGAGGGTGAGGGAAGTGAGCAGTGGTCCGCTGAACCATTAATTTAAAAGCAGCATCTTTCGGGATGTTGTCGAGGTAATGCTTCCACAAAATTCCACCCGTCTTGCTGTCGATCCCAAACAGCTTCACAGGAACAGAAAAACAAGATGAAAGCTCTGATTTGTTTTCGCCTGAACTTGGACTGTGCAGATAACTGTGCACAGCAAAATAATAAGCAAAGAAAATGCAAACAAACGAAGGTGAATTTTTGAAGGTGAGCTTTTAGTCTCTCCAGCTTTACCTTTCCAGACGACGTTACCATAACCATCATCTTCTGCAAGTTGAACTCGTCTCTCGACAGGTTCTCGATGGAGACTTCATTTTTGACTT